GCAGAAAGGTGTTCTCTGCAAAAGGGGTTCAGCCCCCCTTCTTTGGCAACAGAATTCGGAGAATTCGGGTGGGTTTTAGTAGTCAGCCGCACCTTGTGTTTTAAGAAAACCAGGTGGAATTAACAAATGAAACTTGGTCAGGATGTTAAGGGAGGTATCCTCTAAAACATGTATAACTGAAAAATATAAATAATATCATTGTTTATAAGTTATTTGTTAAAATTTCTTAAGTCGTTCCACTTGGTTTCCTTAACAAAAAAGTATTTGTGCTATATATATAAATGCACATAACACTGTACTTAATACTTTACACACTTTTCTTTTATTTTATCTTGTATATTAATCACTTTAATTAAACTTTTATCGACTTGTAAATTACATTGAATTTCACGCATATTTACAATAGGTTTGTTCGTCGAGCAAAAAATTTGTACGAATTTGTACGAATTATCAAAAAAATTTTGCCAGCAAGAATTTGCAAACACGAAAAACATGTGGTTGTGGCGCATGGTTGCATTTTTGTCTACAATAATTTGAATAAATTAGTTCGTTAAATTTAAAAATTTATAAACACGAGCGAGTTTTTATGAAAAAAGGAAGTAAATAATTGTTGAAATAATTAATTTAGTTGATTCCAATGATTTGAACTTAATTCGGCTGAAAAAAATGGTATTCGCAATCGGAATGCAATTGCAACCAGAGTCGATTTAAGAAACCCGACGGCTAGTACGATGAAGAAATTGAAATGTATGTTAAAGAAAGTCAGAACAACAAGAAATATACATGTATATCCTGTTTTTGGCCATCCGAAAGAATTTTAAAAATTCTATAAAAATTTGTTATGTTTGAAATGCAACCGTGGACGCCAGCTGGCAGCGAAACTTGCAAATTCCTGCAAATTTGCGTTCGTGCAGAAATTTGCGAGTTTCTCAACATGAGAGAGAATTTGAGAGAATTTTTTCTTACTCTCTGATATTTTGAGTGTTGGATAATTCTTGCTGGATTTTCGACGAACAAACCTAATAACACATGGTTGCACACTGACACATAACATGTGTTGCCATATTGTAAAAAACAATACATACAAAGAAGGCAATGATTAAAAAGGAATACAGGGGAAATCAATACAAAAGAAAATGTTCAGCTCCTTTTCTTCGCAAAACAGAAAGGAGAATTCTATTGCCTGAGGGTTATAATCCTTAAGTGCGGCCGAAGGCCGCCTACGCAGAAAGGTGTTCTCTGCAAAAGGTGTTCAGCTCCTTTTCTTCGCAAAACAGAAAGGAGAATTCTACTGCCTGAGGGTTATAATCCCTAAGTGCGGCCGAAGGCCGCCTACGCAGAAAGGTGTTCTCTGCAAAAGGTGTTCAGCTCGTTTTCTTCGCAAAACAGAAAGGAGAATTCTACTGCCTGAGGGTTATAATCCCTAAGTGCGGCCGAAGGCCGCTTACGCAGAAAGGTGTTCAGCTCCTTTTCTTCGCAAAACAGAAAGGAGAATTCTACTGCCTGAGGGTTATAATCCCTAAGTGCGGCCGAAGGCCGCCTACGCAGAAAGGTATTCTCTGCAAAATGTGTTCAGCCCCCCCTTCTTCGGCAACACAGAAATAATAATTCTACTAAGTACAAATTCATATTATAATATTATTCAAAATGCCAGTCTGGTAGCACTAAGTTGTATGTTATTTTGCTATCTTATTCATCGTTTATATGAAAACTTTAA